AAATAATTTTGTGTTTTTGTTTTTATATTTAACTAGGCAGATAAACATATCTTCAATCAGCAAGTTCTTCATTTGCTGTGCTGGTGCAATTAACCTATTTGCATGAATTAGATGTCAATTAGCATATATTAGGTTTCAATTAGCAGAGAATCTATTCCTTTGTGCTCTAAAATACAAAAGATTTTTTCCTCCTGTTTTCTTCCTTCTCCTTCCTTGTATAACATTATTCCAAGCAAATACTCCCTCCCTAGCAAAATCAGGGTAATTACGGGAGAGAACATGTGCAATCTTTTTTCTTCAAAGACGCCATCTGATTTTACCTTTGTTCTGCCTATTGCTGAAACCCTACATGAAACACTAGGACTTCAGAGACAGGAAAAATATTAAAATCATATTCAGTTTCTACAATAATTTTAGGTTGCATCTTCTTAGCACCTGTACATTTTGAATAACCTTGACCATGCATCTGGATATTGTTACGTGTTTTCGTTCAATGGTACACACCTTTCATTCCAGAAAACACTGCATATTTAAAGGTCATGTTCTTTGTTCCAGGTCATCTCATGCCCTTTATTCCACGGACACACATGCACCAGCTCTTTTTCACACCCCCTAATTTTCTCAGTTCTTAACAAAAACATATTATGTATTTGACATGTTGTTCTAGCAACATGAGAGCCAGTCTAGTGTAGTATTCTGAGTGAAGCCAGGATTGTGGGAGACTAAGTTTCAAATCTTTGCTTGGCCAAGGAAACCCACAGAGTGACCTTGGGCAAGTCATACCCTCTCGGCCACACAGCATGGAAATGGTAAACCTCTTTTGGACAAACCTTGCCAAGAAAACCCCAAGCTATGTCAACCTTAAGGTCTCCATAATTCAAAATGAGTGGAAGCACACATACTACACATACAAGCATACAAGGCATACAGCCCCATAAATAAGAGTTTGAATGTGTCTTGCTTCCAATCAAAATTTGCATCGTTCATTTGCTTTCTCTCCTGTGACAACCATCTCCAATCTGGTTCCTTCCAGGCATGACTGACATAACTCTTGTCCCTTGCTGTCTAAGGGAGGCTTTCTGAAGGTAGTCCAGTATATCTGGAGGGTGCCAATTTGAACAGAAGGAGATAACCCAGGTATTCAAATAAATAACATGACTGATGTAAACCTTTTGTTGAAAAAATAATAATGAACATTGTCAAGAATAGTGGAAGTCATTCTTATTGGGATAAGCCTCCTCTCAGTAGACTCAAATCAAGGAAAATTTTCATGAGAACCACCACTCCTCTTAATATTCCCCCAGCAACAGCTAGAGAATCCCTCTGGGCAGCTAAACCAGGAAATCCCAATTAGATGGTCCCTCACAAGGGTCTGCCTCCAAGGGTAAGCCAAGAATGGTCAACTTGGAAGTTCCTGAACAGACTCAGAAGGGGAGTAGAAAGATCAAAAGACAACCTGGCAAAATGGAACTACTTAAAAGAATCCTTCACCTTGTGCAAGTGTGGAGCTGAACAAACAACTCCACACCTGTGTGCTTGTCCACATTGCCCTGCCTCATGTACAGGGGAAGAATTGTTTAAAGTTACAGACAATGCAGTTGCTGTTACCCATTTTGGTTGCTTGTGCTCTTTCTATTTTTATCAGTTATGTATGCAATGCTTTTGACACAAAATGAATAAATAAATTGGGATGAATTATTTGTAATCAGTTCACTAAAGGGCAAAAAGCTACGATACTTACTAAGCCATAGTACTCTATATTACAAGTACTACAAGAAAGTCTGTGCCACTGTTCCCACCCTATCATCCAAGGGCACGAGAGGTCTGTAATCCTTATCCCCTTTGTGACCCTGAGAAGTAAATAAAGGCTTGAATGATGAGTTGTTTAAGACTGACTGCTGAATTGCATAGATCAGAAAAATATGTTGAGCTCCCAAATCTTCCCCACTTTAGTTCCATGCTCCAGCTCCTCTCTATTCCATCACATCACATTGGTATAGGGAGTCATTTATTAAAAGCTCCCCATTGCCACAGACTTTGAGTTACTATTTGTAATGAATGGCAATCTCCCCTACCAGGTCAAACATTAGGAAACAACACCTATCATTCTTTACCAGCATGGTGGGAAATGTAGTGCTGCCCTTCTGGCAAGCACTAGGTTATGCAAGATTGAAACAAGGCTGTCAACTGTGCACTAGCAAGAGCTTCGGTCCCAAGAGATGCTCCCTATCTAATCCATAGAGGTATTTTACTCCATGGAATCGGGCTCTTTAGTCTGAATTCTTTGTCTGTCTTTTGTTCATGGAACATGAACTTCAAGATCTGGCCCACACGTAGGCACATCAATCACTGCTGCCATTGCTACATTAAGCAAAAAGACAAAAAGTGTGCGGATATTCCAACTAATGAAGGATTTGCCTTGAGCTTATTTCACATAGAAATGCCTTCTGAGCTTTGTCACTGAGGCAGCTTCCATATTCAGAGCCAAACTGAGGATCTGAACAGAGCTTCATTTGTGTAGAAAGAGGAGGGAATGCATATAGTCAATTTTAGATTTTGAGATAGGCAGAACCGGGTGAAGGTAATGAAGTCTTAGGCTGTTTGCCCTCAAGCTACAAGGACCAATGTTGAGCCTAGAGTAAGCTAGGAGAGACCATTGTGTGCACACTTTGTGGTGCCATTGAGCTACTCTCTGGTGGAAGTCTAAGCAGATGCAGCAGAAAGGGGGAAGTTTGGGGAGAGGATAGGAAGAAGCAGGGAGATGGTTCCATCAGGGACTGAACTTTCCTCACTGTTGTGCTCTGCTGGAGAGCTCAACGGCAAAGACTTGGGGAGAATATTAAGAACCAATGGATGGTTGGGAGTTGGAGAGGGATCATCCTGAACTATTGAAGGTCAGAACCTAATCTCCTGGCCAGAATGACAGATGGAAGATATAAACAAGGGTCTTGAGCCCAATGGAGTAAACCAGGCATGGGCCAACTTGGGCTCTCCAGGTGTTTTGGACTTCAACTCCCACTCTCCAGGTGTTTTGGACTGCAACTCCCACCCTCCAGGTATTTTGGACTTCAACTCCCACCATTCCCAACAACCTCAGGCCCTTTCCTTTTCCCCCTCAGCCGCTTAAGCGGCTGAGGGGGGAAAGGAAGGGACCTGAGGCTATTGGGAATGGTGGGAGTTGAAGTCCAAAATACCTGGAATGCCAAAGTTTGCCCATACCTGCTATAGAATGAACAAATTCTAGTGGATGTGTACCATAGTGTGTATATTATGGATGTGTACCATATATACCGTATTATATTAATAATAATAATAATAATAATAATAATAATATGACATTATAATTATATATTTTATATTACAGGTTATATTACTAATAATATTACAATATAATGGTGTGGTACAATATAGTAATATATAATGCTAATATTGTTCTTTGGTAATAATATAATATATTTTGTATATATAGATCTTGTAAGCTGCTCTGAGTCCCACTCTGAGAAGGGCGGCATATAAATGTTGTAAATAAATAAATAAAGTCATATAGGGCAACCCCAGAAATGGCTAGACACAACGGATTGGTCAGACACAGATAAATGGAACCGCTGTTATCAGTCCTGCAGATATGTATTTTATTGTTATGGGAAAAACTGTCAGGTCTACAGTTTATCAACAGGCTTTCTACTTAGCTTAAGTGCCTGAGGGTGTAGAGGAAAGGGCATGAGGCTGTTAGGAATGGTGGGAGTTGAAGTCCAGAACACCTGGAGGGTCCAAGTTGGCCCATTCCTGCTCTAGAGCCAAATTTATTTATTTATTTATTTATTTACAACATTTATATGCCACCCTTCTCACCCCAAAGGGGACTCAGAGTGGCTTACAAGATATAGATATAGATATAGATATAGATATACATACATACACATACACACACACACACATACATACAATATATATTATTAGCATAGTACAATATCAGTATTATATATTACTATATTGTACTATACCATTATACTAGTAATATTACATGGAATATAAAATATATAATTATAATTATAATATTGTATTATTATTATTAGTATTATATTGCATTACATTAGGTAAAGGTAAAGGTAGTCCCCTGACATTAAGTCCAGTCATGTCTGACTCTGGGGTGTGGTGCTCATCTCCATTTCTAAGCCGAAGAGCCAGCATTGTCCGTAGACACCTCCAAGGTCATGTGGCCGGCATGACTGCATGGAGCGCCGTCACCTTCCCGCCGGAGCAGTACCTATTGATCTACTCACATTTGCATGTTTTTGAACTGCTAGGTTAGCAGAAGCTAGGGCTGACAGCGGAAGCTCACGCCGCTCCCCGGAATTGAACCTGCGACCTTTCGGTCAACAAGCTCAGTGGCTCAGTGCTTTAACCCACTGTGCCACAGGGGGCTCCTGCATTACATTATAATAGTGTAAATATTACATGTATATTATATTATATTATATTATATTATATTATATTATATTATATTATATTAAGTAAAGCACAGGAGACATGATGGAACTGTCTTCTGCCCCCCTCTCTCTTCAATTTGTCCAGTAGACTTACTGGATCAGTAGACTATCTACACCTTGACTCTTCAGCACTTGATTCAAGGGATGTATTTCAGTGAGGGCTCACCAATAGGGTTAAGGCTACATAATGAGGGCAGTGGGGTGCAGGAGAGGAGACCTGTCTATCTTCCAAACCTTCTACTCCATACCAAAACATAAAAAAATGAGACCTAAGGAAAGCCATCCCCACCTACGCTCCTGGAGAAGCTTGGCTTCCAATGTCACCTTTCTAGGAATGCAAGAGGAGGAAAGGGCAGGGGAAGGACTCTCTTGCTCTTGGAGCTCACCCCCAAATTTGGTCACAATTTGGAAAAGGGAGAGGATCAAAGGAAGGGAACCCCAAGCCCCCCGACAGACCCCCTTCCGACCCCTTTTGGCTCTGGAGGCTTCCCCCCTCCTCGGGCGCCTTACCTGGGATGGCGAGGTTGGAGAGGGGCACGCTGTGGATGCTGAGGGGCAGAGTGGCCATCCAGTCGGCCAGCTTGAGCTCGAGCTTGCCTTGCGACGAAGCCATGCTTGCTTCTGGGCGAGCGCGGAGGGAAAGAGGCGCTTGGCCGGCCGCTCACTCACTCGCCTCGCGCGTCTCCTCCTCCTCCTCCTTCCCTCCTTCTTCTCCTCCTCCTCCTTTTCCTTGGCTGCCTCCTTGAAGCCCAGCCACGCTGCGCCACACCCACCGCAGCTGATGGCGCAGGCACGGGCTGGTGGGGATGATGGGACCTCCAACTGAGCCCCAGGGGCTTTCCTTCGCAGCCCTTCCCCTGCTTTGCAAAGCAATAGCACTCCCCTCTTTCTCCTTTTCTTTCCTTCGCTTTCTTGTGGCACGTGACGCTGCACACACACATCATGTTCTCAGAAGCACATTTTTGTATTTCATGTTCACACCATGGATGCCCCCCCCCTCCCCTCCAGTGGTGCAATGGGTTAAACCAGCGTTTCTGGGGGTCAGGACCCCTGGAGAGGTCGTGAGGGGCAGTCTGAGGGGTCGCCAAAGAGCATCAGGAAAAAACAGTATTTTCTGTTGGCCATGGGGGTTCTGTGTGCCAAGTTTGGCCCAATTCTGTCGTTGGTGGAGTTCAGAATACACTTTGATTGTAGGTGAACTACAAATCCCAGTAACTACAACTCCCAAAGGTCAAAGTCTATTCTCCCCAAACTCCACCAGTGTTCACATTTGGGCATACTGAGTATTTGTGCCAAGTTTGGTCCAGATCCATCATTGTTTGAATCCACAGTGATCTCTGGATGTAGGTGAACTACAACTCCAAGACTCAAGGTCAATGCCCACCAAACCCTTCCAGTACTTTCTGTTGGTCATGGGGGTTCTGTTTGAGAAGTTTGGCTCAAGTCCTTCATTGGTTGAGTTCAGAATGCTCTTTGTGGGTTAACTATAAATCAAGTAACTACAACTCCCAAAGGTCAAGGTCTATTCTCCCCAAACTCCACCAGTGTTCACATTTGGGCATACTGAGTATTTGTGTCATTGTTTGAATCCACAGTGATCTCTGGATGTAGGTGAACTACAACTCCAAGACTCAAGGTCAATGCCCATCAGACCCTTCCAGTATTTTCTGTTGGTCATGGGGGTTCTGTTTGGGAAGTTTGGTTCAATGCTATCATTGGTGGAGTTCAGGGTGTTCTTTGATTGTAGATGAACTATAAATCCCAGAAACTACAATTCCCAAATGACAAAATCATTCCCCCCCCCCCCCCCCAACCCCACCAGTATTCAGATTTGGGCATATCGAGTATTTGTGCCCAGTTTGGTCCAGTGAATGAAAATACACCCTGCATATAAGATATTTACATTACGATTCATAATAATAGCAAAATTCACTTATGAAGTAGCAACAAAAGTAATTTTATGGTTGGAGGCCACTACAACATGAGGAACTGTATTAAGGGGTTGCAGCATTTGGAAGGTTAAGAACCACTGGGGTAAACCCTTGTGCCAGCAGGACTGAGGTCACAGGTTCGAATCCAGGGAGAGCGTGGATGAGCTCCCTCTATCGGCTCCAGCTCCCCATGCAGGGACATAAGAGAAGCCTCCCATAAGGATGGTAAAACACCATGGCTCCTATATATAGATTCATAGAAACATAGAGTTGGAAGAGACCTCATGAGCCATCCAGTCCAACCCCATTCTAGCAAGAAGCAGGAAAATTGCATTCAAAGCACCCCCGACAGATGGCCATGGAGCCTCCACCACACTCCGGGGGCAGAGAGTTCCACTGGTTTTAAAAAAATAATCTCAAAGTAATTACATATCATCATCAAAACTTGCCCTTGAGGTCCCGAGGCTTCTGTGGCAGGACTTGCAGGACTCCAATTTAGCACAATGTGAGAGAGTTCCACTGCTGATCAGCTCTCACAGTCAGGAAGTTCTTCCTAATGTTCAGGTGGAATCTCCTTTCTTGTAATTTGAAGCCACTGTTCCACATCCTAGTCTCCAGGTCAGCAGAAAACAAGTCTAAAGTTTAGAACAGGAGCCAGGTAAATGACCTTGAAGGGCCACATCTGGCTCGCGGGCCTTAGTTTGAGGATGCCTGCTCGAGAGCAACAGAAAAACAATCTTCCACAGTGTTACTTGATGAAGAAACACAACCTACAAACTATCTACAGACCCACTAGGTAAATGCAACAAATGTTACATTCAGCAAAGGACAAGAGGGATCCTCTCACTTCTGCAGGAGTCCACCGTATACCATGCAGCTGTGGACACATCTACATGGGGACCACCAAACACAGCACCCAAACACGAATCAAGGGACATGAAAGGCACTGCAGACTACTTCAGCCAGAGAAGTCAGCCATAGCAGAGCACCTGATGAACCAACCTGGACACAGCATATTATTTGAGAACACAGACATGCTGGAACACTCTAACAACCGCCATGTCAGACTACACCGAGAAGCCATTGAAATCCACAAGCATGTGGACAATCTCAACAGAAAGGAGAAAACTATGAAAATGATCACAATCTGGTTTTAAAAAAACCTCTGAAATCAGTGAAGTAAATAAAGAGCTATATTCAAAAACAGGGGAATTCCAGCTAATACCTCCCAATGAAAGATTGCCTTAGGCATAAGAAGCCAGACCTTGAAACTGCAAGGCCATTAAATACTAATCAAGGTAGGCAATTGCAACATTCACACCTACCTCCAACAGACAAGCATTCTTTTTCCCACCCTGGACTTTCCACAGATATATGAACCCCATTTTCCTGGTTTCCAACAGACCTCACAACCTCTGAGGATACCTGCCATAGATGGGAGCTGTCCACGTGCTGAATTCTATCCCCAATTTCCTTGGATTACATGTGTGTGAGGCGATGCAAAAGAAACAAGAGAAGTGCTTTCAAAAGGAAACACTTACTTTAACCCGAGAGAACAGATCTCTAGGAACCTCTAGATCCTTCAGTGTGACATTATAGTCAACTTCCCCTGAGCATTGATCACAGAGTTATACTGGAGTACCAAGAGATCAATAAGAAGAGCACTTCTCTTGGTATTTGAAGGTTCACCAGTATGATCCTATTTCAGCTTCATGTGGAGGTTCCTAGAGAGATTTCTGAAAAGATGTTCTTTTTTTAATTTGTATTTTTCTACTTCCAAGGGGGTCTTGCCCTCTTAACCCCTGTTGCACTCCAGGCCTGGAAACCCCTATGACCACAGCACCACGCAAGAATCCAGAATAGAAGCAAAAAATGTATTGTAAAATATATCAAAAGTGTAGGAAAAATTCAGGAATAGAGGAAGAAGATGTTTATCCAAAAAGGTTTAGCAATAAGCAATAATCCAACAGGAAAAATGTTTCATACAGATTTAAAGGTAATAACAGTCCAGGAACAGCCAAAAATCACAAGAACAGCTTAATTTCACAAGCAAAAGGTATCTTTAGTAAAACTTGAACATAAATACAAATAGAGGAACATAGACATTTCCAATATACCTGAATCCCAAAACCAAAGTCTTAACTTGAAACATGAACCAGGAATTCAGGCCTAGCTTCTTACTCAAAATGCTACATTGCCTGAACTAACTATAAAATAAACAACTTGCCAATTAAAAAACCTTCCATGAAAGCATTTAGTCTCCCATGAAATCTCTCCCCAACTTTCCCATGCAAATGCTCTACCCAGCGATGCCTATTGTCTGCTCTGATCTGTAAACAAAGGCTTGTGTTGATTTCTGTATCTCCAGGTGCTTTTTCCTGGGAGTCTTCTGTATCACTTAATTCTCCACCCGATTCCTCCTTATCTAATGTCTGGCTGCTTTTAACTGACATTGAAGGCGTGCACTTTCCCAGTCAGATTTCTCATTGAAGGAAGAATCATTCCCTTGACTTAAATCTTCATCACTTCATGCCCCCGGAAATCCCACAGGCAATCCCACAATCCTCGCTAAAACATCAGTGAACCCATCAGTCTCGGGCTGATTTACAGCAACCCCAGAGACTGGTGGGGGGTGGGGGTCTCCTGTCTTATGCTGTATTGATCGTGAAATTATAATGAGTTCAATTTTTATGTTGATATTTTACCTTTTAATGAAAGATAACGTTTAAAATAATCCAAAATACAACTGTATGCATAACACCTTTATTACAACAAACCAAGATATAATAAAATTGTGATGAAGCTTTCCATTTTTTTTCCATTTTTTTTATTGGGCTGGATGATTTTATCTCCACTCTGTTTTGTCTGCTTAACATTTCACTTGATGAAGAGCTCTAGAGTCCTCAAATGCCAGCTCACCAAGTGTGTGACATTTTGTTTGCTCCTAATTCCAACATTATTATACTGTGAACCATTTGAATTAACATCTCAGATGGTTTCATTTGTTAGAATGTCTTTTTTGTTTTGTTTTTTAAAAATATGTGCTACTAGGATCAGAAAAAGACACCCAATTGGAATATTACTCAAGGTCATGCCTACTTATGGTAATTTGAAAGTAGTGATTGCCACTGGATGGCAGCAAAGAAGGGCATAATAACCCAAGAAATGAGGATGCTATCAAGAGGAAGCCATCAGCTGTGGCCTTGAGGGGGAGGCAGACAACCTTGTACTCTATTGTTCTCAGCCACATATCTGAAAAAGTCAACTGAAACTTTTAAAAAAAATCCTCTCCAACAGTAGATCATCCTAGTTGTATATTTATTTATTTAGAGTATTTGTATACCCCTTTTCTCACCCCGAGGGGGACTCAAAGTGGTTTACACGCAAGTCATGGCAAAAATTCAATGCCAGTACAAACAATTACAATTATACACTACAATTACACATAAATCAAATTAAAAATACATCCATGAGCAATAAAACAATCATTAAAACAACAAAACAGTCTCGTCCGTCAAATCGCCATTCAAGTCATTGTCTTTCTGAAATGCTGCATACATTTACTTCTGGAGGTTTTGATGGAAGTGGCTGCCAGTACCCCTCTATGCAAACCATTCCCAAAGTCAAATCCCTAGGAATACTGCCAATTTTCCTGCTCTTTTTCTCCCATTTTTTTCTAACTGGATTGGGTTGCTGGACCTCAGTATTGGGTTGCTGGATCCTTTAAATGTGGACTTGTGTCTGTGTTGCACTTTGGGTTCTTTGGTTTTTTTAAATGCATGTCCCAATTCTAATTCAGACTTGACAGATAGCCAGAGAGAGGATCAAGCAGCAGAATAATAACTTACAGAACAGCGTGAGGCAGGGAGGATGTTGCTCTGTCATTTTGTATTCTTTAAGCTCCTTCCAAACCATAGGAAGTTCTTCTTTCTTCCCCAAAGCCAAAATTCTGTCTCTATGCC